CAACGAAGACCGAAAAAGTTGGCACAACTTTGAAAGTTGGGGGCCATAAACTTGTCAAACAGAAGCATCAGGTTGACAGTGAGTGGGCGTTTTGTCTTATGGGGTAGAAGTGCAGCATGATATCTTAATTTATAGCGTGAACTCTGCAGGTCATTTTTATAGTTGGAGAAAGTGTTGACTTTGTTGAGAGTTCACAAGCTTTTTGCCAAGAAATCCAAATTTTTTTTTGTAAAAAGAGGTTGAACATTTGGGACATCTGATTTCTGCTGATGGGGTTCCAACAGACCCACACAAAGGTGAGACAATGCTCAACTAGCCGCAGCCCACAATAGTTAAATCATTGCTGGGATTTTTGGGCCTCATGGGGAATTACAGGAAATTTTGCAAAACTATGGCATAATTAGTAAGCCACTCAATGAATTGCTCAAAAAGAATGCTTTCTTGTGGACTAAGGAAGCTACTTCAGTCTTCCAAACGCTCAAAAGAGGCAATGGTGGCTAGCCTTATCTTGCGCCTTCCTGACTTTTGTATGGCATTTATAATTGAGGCAGATGCAAGCGGTACTGGAATTGGAATTGGGGTTGTGCTGATGCAGAAGGGGCAACCAATTGCCTTCATTGGCAAGACCTTAAATTATTGCAACCAATCTAAATCAATGTATGAGAAAGATCTTCTGGTTGTCCTATATGTCGTTTTCAGGTGGCATCACTATTTGGAAGGGGTTGTAATTATGATTAAATCAGACCAGCAAAGTCTCAAGCATTTTCTGGAACAGAAGGTAACCACCATGCTGCAGAGAGTTTTGAAATTGATAGGACCAGATTACTTCATCCAATGTGAAAACAGGGTTGTCGATGCCCTGTCCCACCATATGGATGATGAGAATACGGCCTAGATGCATGTTGTAGCCGCTAATGCAACTCCAGCTTCTGTGACCAAGATGTGGAATAGTCATAAGAAAGATCCCTCCCTTCAGATGTTGTTACAAGAATTGACACCGGCCTCTGCTAGTCAACCTCCGTTTTGTGTAAACAATGGAGTACTGAGGTACAAGGTCAGGACAATCATAGGAGTCAGTACAAATCTCTGAGATAGGATATTGTAACAATGTCATAACTCGGTGATTGGAGGATACTCTGGGGTTAGAGCCACTTATGAGCGTTTAAAGTAACACTTTTACTAGCAAGGGGTTAAACAGCAGGTATTGGAAACGATTAAAAGTTGTGAGATCTACCAACTCTGCAAAACAGAGAGCATGCCTTTACCGGGGTTATTACAAACCCTTCCAGTTCCTGCATAGGCTTGGACACATGTCTCACTGGACTTTGTTAGGCAATTACCTAAATTGAAAGCTAAAGACTCTATATTGGTGGTGGTTAAATGTTTCACCAAGAAGGATCACTTCATGGCTTTGAAGCACCCTTCTCAGCCCAGTAGGTCGCCTGATTCCATTTGGAGCAGGTCCACAAGCTCCTTGGAATCTCTAAGGTGCTGCTTTCTAATAGGGATAAGATATTTACAAGTCTTTTTGGGAAGGAATTGATGGGGCTCCTGGGAACACAGCTACTCATTTCAATTTGACCTACCACTTATAAATGAATGGCCAAACTGAGTGCTTGAAACGTTGTCTTTAGATGTATCTGCAATGCATGGCATGCTAGAATCCTCGAGAGTTGGCAAGATGGCTTGCATCGGCCAAATTATGGTACAATACCACCTATTCTTCCAGTTTAAAGATGTCTCCTTTTCAGGCACTATGAGTGTGCCTCACTGCAATTCCTAGACACGTGGGCACCTAAACTCCCAAACCCCATCTCCTACGGCGGAGGATTTGTATGGGAGAGGCAGTGCGTGAGCAGGGTGATCAGACAACAATGATTACATACAGCAAAGAATTGAGCAATTTGCAGAAACAACACATTGAGAGGTGATTCCAGAAACAGGAGCTAGTGCTTGTAAAGCTATAACCTTTCAAGTAAGGCTCAGTGCGCAAGGGACCACCTCAAGTTATCCCCTCAGTATTACAGGCCTTTTGAGATTTTGCAGAAGATCGAATTTGTGACATACAAGCTACAACTTTCGGAGACTTACCGCATTCGTCCTGTATTTTATGTTTCTCAATTTAAAAAGTATGCACCTGGAAAGCAGCGCTATCTCAAGGAGCTTCCCACCATCAATGCCGAGGGCATTATGGATGTAACTACAGATAAAAGTTTGCACGAAAGGACCATTTTCAACATGGAAAGGCTGTGACACAACTCTTGGTTTGTTTGACAGGCACCGACTCAGATGGTTATACCTGGGAAGATCGAGAATCCCTTTGTCGACAATTTCCACACCCCCAAGGTTGTTGTGCAAAGCGAGGTATGTGAGTAGCCAAGATAAACCATTGAAGGTTTATAGTAGGCACAAGCGACAATTGTCCAGTTAAGGATACATGCTGTAAATGTTAGATTCTTACAAAGTGAATTTCTATTAAGAATTAGTATGGGCTCCTCTATAAATAAGTGGACTGAGTGGATTAGATCTATGCTGATTTCCAAAATAATGAATATTACTCTTCTCAAACTTTCTCAAATTCTCTCTCTCTTTCTCCTTTCTTTCCCTCTCCTATCTTTTAGTCTCATTCAAATTTTCTCCTGTCGAAGCTGATGTCCAAAGCTCTTGACATAATGATAGTTAAAATGATCCGATAGACATATCAGTCATCATAAACTCATATTTGGTTGATGTAGGATTATTTCTTAATAAAATAACCATGTAAATAAGCATATGATGATGACTCAGTTTGATTTAAGGTCAAGCATGTAAAAAGAAAAAAAATCAAATTCGTATACTATCATATTGATGCCTAATACCAATAATATTTTTTGTAGCACGGCAGCAACATATATTGAAGGCAACAGAAAGAGAATCTGCTAACTAACCTTATAGGACACTTATTTCCTGACTTTGTCATGGATGAGATACGATCTAGGAGCTGAAAAACCCGCCTGCTAGCTCCTGCAGCTTTCATTGCAACTGTATATAACCCTGAGAGTCCAGATACAGAGGATCCAACTGCCAAAGAAAGTTAAAGTAAACTGGATTAGAATTTAAATTACTAAAGCAGAGTACCATGAACATTACAGTTCTTGCAGGCATGGAATTACCTGTGAGGCTGTAAAGAATAAAAGATGTAAGAGCACCAGGGGACATGAAACCCGTGATTGTTAATCTGGCTCCATATAGCACTACTACGATAACTGCTAGCGTTGATGCTGCATTTAGACCTCCAAAGAACATTCCAACTACTTTCTATAGCATCAAAAAGCCCAGTTAGATACTTTTCATATGTACTTATATATAAATATATGTAAAGAGAGATGGAGATTGAGTGATGTTAGAAAACTCACAGCTTGTTTGAGTCCAAGCTTTAGTGTCTCATTAACTTGCTTGGAGTAGCGTGATACCTCACGACCTTCTTGTGCAAAAGATCTCACAGTGCGTATAGCACCAAAAGATTCCTAAAGAAACATAAACTTAAATTCCACCCATATGTATCTTATTGTAGCTGTCTTTGTGCTTATACAGATATTATAAAATTGAACACAAGAGATATTATGAGCGTGAACAATAGGTTTTGTATACAGCATACGAA